GGCTCATACACCTCTTTGGTTAAAGTACGATCAACATATGCTCTGTCCACCTGAAAAGCTCTGACCCTGGTTTTCGACCAATTCACGATATTCACTGGTTCAGAGGGCTCACAGCGAGCCTCCCAGGTCTGTATCGCCCAGGCGCATGCACCGTGTGGGGAGAGGCTTCTGGGCGGCGCAGCATGCGTGGGTCTGAGCACCTGATAGACCGAACTCGGCGGGATCGACCGAACTGGGTCACCCGGGTTCAAATGCACGCAGCGTGGATCGTGGATCGGGATCATGGATCTCCTCGGTCGTGGATCTCCTCGGTCTAGGTTCCCACCTAGATGAGAATCGACTACCCAAATCTAACATGGTCAACCTACAAGGGTCAACCGGTCTGTGGGTGCCATGGACCCACAGCCTGACTTCAGCGTCATGTCTTCGAAGACAGGTCACTTCAGCTATCCCTTGAACGGGGTGCCAAAGCGCTCGCTTTTTCCTCCATGCTTTTGACCTGTAGCAACCCCTTCTGCCTTGCAAAGCTGAGTCTCCCACTCCACTGGAGCCCAGCTGACAGGCACCGTTGCAAAGTTCTTCAGCGCCGCCGTCCCCACCGGCGACCGTACCAGAGGGCCCGGCGCCGGTGCTGCTGGCGCCGCTGGCGCTGGCGGCGCTGGCGCTCGCAGCGGCGCGGCCACGCTGATGGGGAGCCGGAGTGGCTCGAAGCTGGGGATGGTCATGGGCACAGAGACCGGACAGGGCACCGACGGCACCGACGGCACCGATGAGACCGTGGGACACGGTCGAGCGAGGGCGATGGGAATTGAGGTCATTGGCGAAGTCATTGGCATGGAGGTGAGCATGATGGGCGAGTTCGGCCAACCAAAGGTCCTGGCTTCGGAGTTCCCAAAGGATGTCCAACATGCTGGCTTCACTCTTCTCACTCTTCACCTGCTAAAATGGATGGTTACTCCAAGTCCATCTAGCCATCGACTTCGCCTCTCTCTCACCTTGGACCGCACCGTCCTCCGGCAGGCACGGAGGCTCCGCACTCTGCGGTCGCTGCCCACGGGCCGAAGCCAGCTACAGCGCTGTAGCCGAAGCGAGACAAGCTACAGCTCGGTGACAAGTGGCACCACACTGCGAATGGCACATCAGAGTCCACAGGAAATTCGGAAAGACCACATCACACAGGAGGTATAGGAAACAGGACCTGGACCTGGACCTATACGAGATTTCAACAATTGAAGGACTACCGGTATCACCAGTAGATGAAAGAAGCCGAAAGTGAGTCATCTCGGAAGACTTGTGCAACTGCGGTAGCGGTAGCTACAAGATCATGCATTGCAATCGCTTCAACTATAGACAATGGCCGCGACAATTGGGGAGGTCATACCCCAGCTGTCCGAATGAAATTTGTCTATCCCATCCCTCATCCCGGAATCCCATCCCATCCCTCATTCCATCCGCGTCTTTCTCCACCGGCAGCTCGCCTTCCCCGCGCGACGCGCTCGCAAGCTCCGGGTGTTCCAGCAGCTCGCGCGCATGGGCGGCATCCGGCCGGGAGATGGCGGTGTAGCTCAGATGCTGGAGCAAGAGACCAATGAAGCCGTGAAGCTCCTGTTTCGAATACAAATCGGGCTCCACTTGCAGGTGCAGGTGCTCCTGACAGCGGAAAGATGGAAAGCGATGGAAAGGAAGCCAAAAGATGGATCAAAGGACCCTCTGATAGTGAATAGGCTTGAAACAAAAAGGAATGTTAGCTATATTGGCTTCATTTAGCTTCCAAAAATGCAGGGAGCACCGTAAAACACAACTATGTCAACAAGTGAGAAGCCACCTTGGCCGCGACAAGCATCAGGGTGAAAACCAAGCGCTCCCAGTTTCTCGAGGTCAAATGCAATGGCGGGGTCGAGAATGAGATGCGCTCCAAGTAGACCAGGAGGTAAACCTAAGCAGAAAAGGAACGACGGCTCATTCACTGTGATGCCAATCCTCCCACCACACTTGTCCTCTTAGACTATTCTAGACCCTCAAAGAACGAGTAAATCCACCATGATCTACCATGATCACGGTGCCACCGGCTCCACCAGCTCCTCCACCACTTCCACCAGGGCACCACCAGCTGTTGGAAGCTGGAGCCACCAAGTTGCTCCACCTCGGTCGAACTCAAGTCGCTCCACGTCTCGGTCAAGAACTCGGCGATCTCCAGCGGCTTCGGCATGCGAGGGACGTCGTCTTCGCGTCGGCCTCCGGGCGCTTGGAGGAAGGGCCGAAGGGAAGCAAAAGGAAAGGCCATTGAGTTGGGGTCACTCCCACCAGGAATGAAGTATGTCAAAATAGATCCGACACAATCTTCAAAACAAATAGGACTACAAATAGGACATGCAAAGTCAGCTCTTGGGAGCTATATACAATTATATACATGTTCTGTTGGGACTTCTCATTCTCAACCACTTCTATTGAAAAAATATGAGCCCACCATTTCAGCTTGACTAAGCCACCAAGCAAAACACCGCAACTCTCCCTCCACAAATCTCATCAAATCTCTATATTCATCTATATTCATGATTCAGTGATTCCCCACTAATTCATTTGGTTCTCTATCAGATCACGTCTTGACCTCTGTACCAGTACCCCCTACCCCCTATCTCTGTAGCAACACCCGTCGCAACACCCTTCATCCTCACGTGTTCGGTGCCACGTCTTCGGCCTGGCGGCCAGAAGATGGCATCGTCCGTGGAGTCGGTGGACCTTGGAATCGTTTTTCTTCGGAAGGAGCCGGGGGGTAGGGCTTGCGTGAACAAGGAATAGCTGAAATAAAAAGAAAAAGCAAAGACACAAGCCCAAGCATCAAAGAACTTAAGCAATGTATATATAATACATAGCAAGCAATGACAGCAATGATTAAAGACATGTTGATGAACGCTGTCACTCTGAACGCCGCAGAAGTCGAAGTTTGATCGGCTTCGATCCGAGTCGGACCCGTCCATCCTGAAGGGTGACCCACAGCTGTGGCGGCACCAGTCCGACCGGTTGAGCCTACCAGACTGGTCGGGCGAACGTGGTGTTTGACCTGTTCAATCCGTCTACAAGCTCATCCAAATCTCTTCTAGGATGCCCAACCGGCCATCCTACCCACCGGCAAACAAAAAACGCCAATGGGCGGCACTTTGACCCAACCTCCGACCGCTCCAAACGACCACGGCCACTTGCACATGATGGCATGACCTGTCGGTCGAGATGCGGCAGCATCATTTTGGATAAGATCGCTCCACAGGCATTGGCACAACCCTCCTCTGTGTTCAAATCCTCCAGCCGCTCGCACGCTAGTGGAAGGGTGGACCAGCGAACTCGTGCATGTTCAGAAGCCATTTCTGGCACTGTGAAAGAGGTACACCTGGCAGATCCAGCGTAGTGGTGCTGAAGGTCTGTCGGCGGCAAATCTCCAAGAACTTTGCCAGAGAGATGATCTTGATCTTGGATCCTTAACATCAATGTCCCTTCCCAATCTTCCCAACACACTCCAATTCTTGCTGTGATACTGTCCCAACTACTTTCAGCAATTGTCCCAAACGTTCACCTTCCCTTGGCCTTCGGAGGTGCTTCTCCTAACCATTCTGACAGGGAAAGTTGGAATCGCAGCTGAACACCTGAAACACAGCGGCCCAAACACAGCTGCTGAAACACAGCAGCTGTTTCACACGCCTTCTCCAACGTCCAAGATTCTGAGAAGATTGGCGCTCTTCACCGTTCTCAAGCTCCAATGCCGCTGCCTCGTCACCGTGGTCCTCCAAGCAAGGCCGCGTCAAATACCTCGGGCCCCAGAAGGCCGCAGAGACGTGGGCACTTCCTGATCTGAAACTCCCAGAGGCCGCGAATGGATTTTGGGGGGAACGAAAGGTGAACCGAGTGAACCGGGTCTTTCACCACTTTCTTTATGTTTTTTGGGTGCGGATACCATGGGAAGCCCACTCCCAAAAAGGTTTTTTCGGGCAGGTGATCCATAGTTTTGTTGGTGCATCTCTGACCGGGGCTTAGCGAGTGGCTTCGCAGTCGAGTCAAGAGTTCGAAGTAAACAGAAATGGACACACTCGACGGACTAGCGCATGTTCTCTGAGAGAACGTGTATTTTTACATAGAGGAACACAGTCTTCCAGAGTTCTATGATGTTCTATAATATGTGTTCTTCTTGTAGCCTGCAGGTGTCATGTAATTAAGAAAAACAACCTTAACTTAATACAGTCGCAAATGAATTGGAAGTCCTTCCTCCAGCTTGGAGACCACAAGACAGAATCTGACGACTCTAAAGCTGGGGCCAACACTGCTGAAGCTGGTCTGCCAAAAAGCGAACTTGTTCCGCCTGAAACGGCAGGCGGAGCAACGGAGCAGCAGAGCAGTGCCCTGTAAAGAAGGTGTTGACAGGTTTTTGTAGGATTCCAGAGCGACGTGGCAAAGCGTGTCCGCGAGCGTAGGATTCCAACCACTCATTTAATAGGCATATGCGGCATTACAACCTTACAATACCGCTCCAAGCGGCCCCAAACATGAGAAAGTATATGCATGAAGCTCACGATGACGTACATTGACCCTGTTCCAGGATGTTCCAAGGAATCCTCGGAAAAAGTATCGTTCCAGTCGATGTCCTCGGCAGCCTGTGTCTCATCATTCTTGGGTTGACAAAAGAAGAGAACCTGAATCAAATACTCTTCGTTAAGTGGTCAGCCCACTCTTGACGTCTCATGAGCATGTAATTGTTTGTGTCCAATTTCCCTACCAACAGCGCGCCTTTTTTCAATAAGGCTCTGTCAGGGTCATTTCGCACGGCTACGGCATCGGCTGGAGGCGAATACATCATGTATAGTGGCTACACATGGCTACACCATTCAGAACGTACCGATGACCAGTGAATCATGTCAATTGAAAGTTTAGCAGCTGTGTCAACACGTTGTACCCGCCTGCCCGGCTGTGGCCAACACCGCAGGTCCAACTTTGGGACGGGCCACATGTGCCCCTCACAACGATGTGAAGGTGCAGCCATTACCTCCCACCTCAGGGACTCAACATGACTCCGCAAAGAATAACGGAAACGAAGAACCGGAAAAGAACCAACCAGAACTTGTCAGATTCTTAGAAACGGAGAAAGACAAGGAAAGGATTGAAATTCAGCATTTCACATAACCGTTGCTTAAATTGGTTTAAGAAACACATTTAAACATGTTCAACACTTGAATCAAGCTGTGTATGAAAATAGGGAGACAGCCAAAGACCCCCTGGAAGAAAGAACATAGACCTAACACCCCTTTTGGTTTGGGACCCTGGAACGCCGAGTTCGGCGTCAAAGGGCCTGAAAAAACCAGGTGAGTCCTTCGGCGAAGCTGGCGAAGCTTGTTGGAGCCGAGTCCTTCGGATCTTCGATGATGACCGGCACCTCGTGCACCAGGAGCTTCGCATCCTCCAGAAGCTGTGGATACCTGCAAAACGAATCCCTCATGCAGAACGGATGGGTGACCTAAACCGGAAATGATGCAACATAATGCAACAACCGGACCCTAATGCCCTAAACCCTGCACAAACTTTGTGGGTACTTTGTGGGAGGCATATGGGGATAGAGCCTCTGCAATTCCCCAAGCACTCCAAGCACCACTTCACAAACGAAACAGAATCACGGCCATGGTCCCATTCAACATCATTCAGTTTGAAGAAAGTTCGGGGTGAAAACGACACGATGGGATCCGATGTTTGATCCATGTGACATGAGCTTCAGCTCTGACATCACGAAGGTGGCCGCCGTCTTTCCGTCCACAGACTGAACAGAATTCATATTGCAGTTGGCTCCTGACCACTCTCAGGGACACCGAAGACGACTAATTGTTAATTGATGCTCATTGAGTTTTAAAAAATTGTTTCATTCAACTGTATTTTAATGATTTTTTACTGCATATATAGTTATCAGTTGTTGACCTCAAAATTTGCCAGGCGACTGAACGTGAGCGAATCTGACACACCAGCTGTGATATCCAGCATGGCCAGGAAGGCCTCCCGAAAGGGATTGGGCACCATGTTGTGCCCTGTCATCGCAGCTGCAGTCCGCAACTCCTTCTGCCAATACCTTGTGCACGCTACGCACTTGGCGTTGACACGGTGGCATACTCACACAAGGAACACTTAGACCTCAACTACTGGTCTCTACAGGATAGGTGTTCAAAGCATGCACTGGCAGGATGTCAAGGGCGTTACAAGCCCTTGCAGCTCTTGCACCGCACCGTGCAGCACGCGAAAACGTGAAAGACATGCACTTGCTGGCTCGGTGCTCATCGCGGCGCTTCTTGGCTTGCTCTAGAAGAACCTTCTTCTCCTCCTCGGAGAGCTCATCGTCGATTCGTGGTTTCAAAGCCCAATCCTCCATGGCCCGAGCCGCAAAATCCTCCGCGAATGCGATGGTACCTTCCTGCGGCGCGTTCGGGGAAGACGTGGGCGGGTGGGTCGGTGTACCAGGCAAACCAAGGAGTGACACCTTTCGTTGAACTTCATTTGATGCACCCAAAAACCGAGTCCTTTTTGTGTTTTCTCAGGTTCCACATCGCCAGGTGTTTATTAATGACAGGTTGCTTGTGATCACTTCTTGTGACAAGTCTTGGGCAAAGACGTGTATATACTCAAATGTAAGGGTACTCGAAACCTTGCAGATGTGCAAACCTGATGCTACGAACCCAGGGACCTCTTGATTGAACAGGAACATATCATGCACACACAAAAATACACAGACCTACAATAACAATTAATATATATATATATAACAATTGTGTTGACCATGTAGCTGCCCTCGATCTCCAAATCAGAAGGCTATTGGCTATGGTGTCATAGTAGTGTGATAAGTAAGGATACCTGAAGTGCATTCAGATTGTACCATATTCAACCCATGTTCCGTTCAGAGTTGTCAGGCACTTCTAAGTCTCACGAGTGTTGAAACATTCCTGCGTTCCACCTTTCCAACCATGCCTCAGTGACACAGCCACCAGCAAGCTGTTCCATTGCGTCGATCATTTTCGAAGGCACGGATGGTAAAAGGAGGAGCCTCAGTTTTGCTAGCCCCTGCAAGCATGGGATATGACATGACATGTGACCAAACCAAAACAAAGACAAACACTGGAGCAGGATATAGCATGCATCCTCAGACTCACCGTTCCTTGCTCTGACATATCTCCGGTGTTGCAAGCCAGTTGTATAACATCATGAGCTACTGAATAAAGAACGGGAAGACACACGACGACAATATGGATTTGATCAGTTGCTTGCAGCATAGAAAAAAGTTGATGCTAAGTGCTAAGTCCAAAAAGCTCAATGAGAGGCATGAGTGCGCAACCAATACCGATTTGGCGCAAGGTCCTGGCGTAAATGGCCAATGTTCGCAGTGCTAGAGCCATAGAGAAGTCACTCGAGACTGGCGGAGTTGCAACGTTGGCAGCCTGTGCAGCACCTGCCAGTCCAGAAGCAGCAAACGTAGCCATGCGAATGTAGGTCGGTTCCCGTGAAGAGGATGCTGTAGATGCAGTGCTCTTCGGGGATGGGCTGAAAGCACTGGGAGATGGGAGAACCATCATTGGCTCCGAGGCCTCTACATTCCTGGACTGGAAAATGTGTGCGGCGACCCAAGGCTCATGCATCACGGGTGAAAGAAAACCCCCGGTACTGAACATGCCGTAAGTCCTACGTTCTGCAATCCTCACCCCAACAAGCTGATTTCTGTTTCAAGCATCGGAAATCCCAGGCTCCAATCATTTGGGCCGGCTTTTCTTGAAGTCAAATTGCTCAAGTCGCCCATGACACTTCCGACGACCATCCCTGAGATCAATTCGGCCATCTCTGGTAGCTCCAAGGAAAGTAGTTCACCAAGAAAGCCCCAGACGTCCTGGACGTGCGGGCCTTTCCGCCCCGAAGCGCAGCCCTGACACAAAACAACATGGATGACCATTGCCCCGAAGTCGACTCGGATGACCCTGCAATTCGAACACCAAACCGGCGGCGCTGAACTCCAAGTTCAATAGAGACTAATGGAGACCCCTTTAAAAGAAAGCGTAAACTTCTTGCGAACTTCCTCGAAACTCGCCCCAACATCTCGTGGAAGTTTGGTCCTCTTCACATTCCGCCCCAACGCGGAAGAGGGAATCGCTGCGCCGCTGTGAAGCTTGGGCCATCGTGAGCCAGTTCTTCCGCAACAAGGTGCACAGGAGCATCGGCAACCTTGAAAATCTGAAATGCTCATAGCAACAAAGGGCCAGAAGCTCAAGCGTGAGCTTTGCACACGTCTTGCAGTACTGCAAATAATTACCAAACCTTTGAAAATCAACACCAAACATAGCACAGATTACCAAACCGAGCATCTCTGATTTTGCAATGTCCAAGGCGATGCACAGCAGCTCCTGGTTCTGCTTGAGCTTTGGGAAGATCCAGAGCTGGGCGCTGCGTGCCATCGTCCGGACCAAGGCTTCATCATAGGCCGTGTAAGCCATGGCCCTTCGAAATACGGGCAAGTCACGATCTTCAGTCATCAAATATGGCAAGCTCTCCACGCTGGTGCGCATGCACACCGTCTTGAGGGCAGAAACAAAGAACTGCAGGTGCTCCTGACGAGCGCGACGGTGTTTTGACCAAACGCTGGAACCTGTTTCTCGTATCATGGCTTCAACAACAGCATGACACAACGGGTTCTTAAATTGACGAACATATTGTCATATTCGCCACCAGTCGCACCTCCACTGATAGATCCGGCTTGCCGGAGAAGAGCTGATTGAGGGCAGCACCCTCTTCTCGGATGAGCAAATCAAACGTGTCATCCTGCAGTCTTCATCCATCCAAAGTATTCCAGGGTAACAACCGAGGCATGTGTGGTTCATGCAGACATTCATCAAATACTAGTAGGGAGACCTGAGACGCGTTAACAACATTTAAGGACGCTCTAAGAGGCTTTAACACCTTTGATGGGTTTTGTGTCACGTTGGCATGGATGAGTTGCATGTGGCTCTGTGGCTCTGCATGTCGCACGTCTCTGTCCTTCACATTCTGGAGGACCAAACACAAGGACTGCCATCCCTGTGCCCTGATACCGGATGGCGTGCGGAAAGAGAGCAGGCACTTCACCAGCATGTGAAGCCCCCGATGGTCCACGAAACACTGGACAATGTCCTTGTTCTTTCTGGAACCGAATTGTACAGCTTTGGCAATCATCCGGAGTTGTTCTATCACGGCATCTGCCTCGCTCACGGTGTGAGGCCAGAAATTCCGAAAATTTGGATCATCGCTCAATGCATATGTCAAATATATTAGCATATTTGTCGTCCCCTCGACGGTGAACTCTTCTGCCGGCAAGGGCTCCTTTGGCACCTGCAAAGACTCGACAACTTCACCCACGTAGGCGACGAAAGTACTTATTGACTCAAACATGATCAAACAAATCGCAGTGACAGGTGTTCTGTCGCCACGCCACACACCTGCTTGAGCTGAAGCTGCACAAATCAAAAATTGCTTCAGCCGATGCAGAAAGAATAACACACCCAGGAAGAATCTCTTCTATATTGCCAAACACTTCAACCATGTTTTTAGTGGTCTTGGAAGGCTAGCGATGTGTTAACTTAGCTGGCTTCTCAACCTATAAATCGGCTGCTTCTTTCAGCTCGACACATGAGTGACGTTTTGCCAAGGGCCAAGATCTTTCATGCATGCCCTGCCCGGGCTAGCCTCGCCTGGGTGGCGGTTTGCACCTCCAAGACCTCTGCCCGAGCCTGGACATAGCTCAGCTTCTCATCACGTCTCTCCTTCTCCGCCTCGCAATTGAGCTGAGAAGGAGTGGAAACCTGTCTCCCTGCTGATCAATTCCCAGATCATCCAATGAATCCTTGAGCTGGCCCTGCTTGGGCGCAGCTAGAGATTCCGAAGTGGCCGGAAAATCTGTGACGAGGCCGCCACCAGTATTGTATACGTTCCGTGAGTTACTGTAGGTGCCATGATTCTCGAGGTTTGGATGTTGCTTTTTGGCGTTTTTGTAGTACTGGACAAGTTCTACCAGAACCGACTCTAGAAAAACGCCCACCTCTATCTTTTCTGTTCGATAAACTATATAAGGTTTTTGCACCACTGGACCACACCTGTTATGATGCTGTACTATTCTCTTTGAAACTTTGATCTTGTCGGATCCCAGATTTGATGTCCAATCTGGATGAGGCTCAAAATGTCCCACAACCTGACAGATATGTTCGGCCGAATCTGCATTTGCGGATCTCATTCACGAATGTCTGCTGCTTTTTGTTCAACAAAGAAACAACTGCGAACTCATTCAATATGTTTTATAACATGTTTTAACCAAACAACCGCATGAAACAAACATCAAAATTAAACTATTATATATTAAAATAAGGCCCAACAGGTGTTACTGGGATGACCTTCCTCCAACCATTCCACCATGTTCCACACTCCGCGCACGGGCGGTTCGCACCTGCAGATCCTGCAGCAAAGCCTCGACGTGCTGGCAGCGATCCGCCAGCTCCTGTCGCGCAAGCGCAGAGCTCGGTGAAGCAGAGCGAGCAGTGGCAAGTGGGATTGTCACAGAATCTGGACCCGTCCAATGCTTCAAAAAACACAATGCTTCAACCACTTACAAGTCCACTGTTCAACTGGATCCTTGAGCCAATGTTTGTTGAACTGTTGAACTGGGTCCAAAAGCATGCTACATAACATGACCATGCACTCGCTCCTGGTTGCGGGTGGCCAAGCGCGATAACCTGGGAGTGGCATGACATGGACATGGCATGCCGCTGTCATTTTTGCATCTTTTCCAAACAAAACAAGGTTGGGCATAAGAATCTGACTTCTTCCATGGTTTGAGGTCTCCCGGACGGAAAACGACCGTACTGACGGGCCGCGTAACGGCCTTATTTACAGGTCACCCGTGAAATTCTTGTATCTTGTAGATACGAGATGGCATGAGTCTTTCAGGGGTTGTCATTCTCAATTGAATGCCCATCCGTCCCAAGTGCTGAGAAATCAATCACCCCCACCTCCGCAGGCCTCTGCAGGCCTCCGGCCTCCGCAGGCCTCTAGGGCACCCGGCAGCGCCTTCTCACGAGCCTTGGAAGCCTTGGACGTCGACTTCGGCGATGCCCGGGGAGGCCTTCCTCGTTCATGGAAAGGACATGGAAACTTCCTACTTGCAGACTTAGAGTAGCCTTGTATCAGGGAGATCATGAGATCATTGACTGGTGAAGCAGCTCCTTGAAGACACGGGTTGCTTCAGATTAGCCGCTTAACGGATTGGTTGGCTGGGGATGGGTGCGTCATGGTGCTTCATAACGTGGCAAAAGAGCAGAATTTGCCAAAACCAAATGCAAAACAATTCAGATAACGGCCTAATCAAATGTAACATAGCTCCAGTGCATTGGATCTTTCCAAGACGTGTTCAACAACTTTCTGTAGTAACTTGATCAACGGCACGACCTTATTGCCAAGACCCTTTTCCCTATGCCAGAGCAGCGAAACCTGATAAAAGAGACACAACACTTCTTACCTGTACAGTCCTTCCGGCTTGGGTGCCAAACGCTGTCTTGAACGCTCAACAATGAAGCTTCTCGAAGCACCAAAACACCGCGAAGCAAGCGTGCTCGATGGCCTCTCCAGGCCAACAGCCACCGATGTGCCGATGTCGCGACTGTCGGCGCAAAATCCCCTTGAAAAATGCTGGAATCTTGGAAACTGGTGCGCATCTCAATGGATGGGGCATGGATAATGGCACACGAGAAAGTCTGGGCGATTCGGCCTGGGAGGAAAGGAATTCCTTCCGTCTTGATGATGAGCTCCTCATCGTTCAAGCGGCTCAGTAGCACGAGGCTTTCCAGGCCGCGATCCAAGAGCTGCTCGGAGTACTGGGGGATCCCCAACCTGAAAAGTGAAGTTTCAGGCAACTCGGGCGTAGACAGTCTACTATGTGGCTGATGAGGCGACATGGACCTGTCGCCAAGCATGCCACATGCTAGGTACTATATAATGTTATCATCTGACATCAGGCTGGAAAGAACGAGGGGGACAAAGGATGAACGCGAGGAATCCGCATATCTGCAGCCGCGCAAGTTCCACTGAGGATCGCAACAAAGAAAGGTCCCGAGGGCAAGGCAGAGATAGCAACAAGGTATTCCAGTTCAGCAAAGAGGGTGATACCAACGGAGACTCTTCTACGTCTGGCAGCCCTGAAAATTGCGGTTGTCGTTTTTTTGTTTTTTTTTGAGTGAACAGACTTTGCATATTACGTACCATCTCAAGAGGCAGTGTACACTATACCAGCATCACCTGTATTTCCAATACAATAAAAGGTCCGACTAGGCACCCCTGCCATCTACGCAGAACAGAGCAATGGTGGTCAGCTATCCCCTGCTGTCCTCTTCGTTCAGTTCATCCAAGCGACAAACTCAAGAAGTTTCCCACGGCCGAATCTTTGCCCAAGGGAAGTCGTCGTCGGCCTAGGCCACCCTCGCTGTTGCTGGTGTTCAAAGCTGGCTTGACATCCTTGCTTTGACCTCGGCAAAAAGAACACGCACTTGGATGGTCAGTTCCTAGTGATAAATGGACACTTAAGCTCCGTATCCAAACGATAGGGTCATATGAGTCATATCATCCAGTCCTTCTATGCAAAAGTCGTTCTATGCAACAGGGAGATGTACAGTGCAGTGTATTTGTACAGATCTAACTAGTGTGCCATGGAATCATGAGATGGACCCCTTCAGTAGAGAAGGTGCTGAGAGTCCATGTAATTTCTGCTTCTTAGACAAGTCTCCGACGTCTTAGCAGCATGTAAAGAGTCTCCTGCTTACCGCAGTTCTTCTACTTCTATGGCGCCTCTGGAAAGATCTCATGAAACAGGAGGACACGTCCTTGAGGTGGAAGGAGCATTTTCCAGCCATCAATGCCTTGATAGGTTTATCATGGTTTATCCTGTGAAGAAGGAAGGGCATCAACTGGTGGAACGCTTTACCAAAAAACAACCATGTCTACCAGTTTACCCCCGCCCGCCAAAAGCCGCTTCAACCCCGCTGCCGCCTATAATTAGGGGGGATATCCCACACCACAGCCTGGACCCTTCAATCATGTCAGTTGGGAAAAGACCATGTGTCTGTGAAAAAAAAAACACTTGTTTTTTAACGCTTCAAGCAGCCATACGGTACTAGCCGGTCGCCTAGTGAAATAAAACACCAAAAAAACAAACTAAAGATGGTGTTCGCACCTCGTCCTCCCAGTCTGTTTCGCTCGCCATGGACGTCCCAGTCTTTCAGGTCCATGGGATCCTTCGACCTCGCGGACCTTTCATTAGCTAGGAGTGGTACCCAAAAGCCCGGATTTGGGTTCATCCCATCCGAGATTGAGACTATATAAGCCCTCCCCCCCCAGAAAAGTAGATGGAGAAAAGATGAGAAATGAGCCCCCCCCACTCCATGAGTTTCCGGAATCTGGGACTGCCCTCGACCGCTGCTCCCAGGTCCTGGGGCCGCCGGCGTCGCGCCTCTGAGACGTCGGAACGCAGCGCGGCGGCGCGGCCCCGACGGGGGCAGCCCATGGGCGATGGCGGTGGGTGACCGTTTTGGTGGAAGTTGGGAAGGGTAGCTTGGCTGGTTTGGTGAATCTACTTGAGTGTAGAGGAATGTAAAGGAGTTGAGTGGGGTTTAGTGAGTTGATTGGTTGAGGAAGGAGTATAGGTATAGCCTTTTGTGAAGTAGAGTTGCAGTGGGCAGGGCGGACTTGCATGAGTGCATGCCGTCTGTATGCTGTGAATGTGCCACAAATACTGAAAGTTTCATATCATGTAGGCTTGAGGTTCACATCTTGTTGGTCACTCCTGGCTTGCCTGCGAAATGCCAACAGAATCAGCAATTGCACATAATTGCACCATAGTCACCATAGTGCATGTTTCTTCCAATCCCTGTGTTGCAAACAATTGGAATGTCAGAAAGGGGTCACAACCGCGCACAGCGGAAGACTTTTCATGGCAAACGGGTGATTGGTCTGATGGTTTGCCAAGTGTCCCTCATGTCTTGAAATCATGTCACAGAATCACGATTTACACACAAACGAAGGACCTGACCCATGATCGGCACATCCTTTTCTTCTGCATACTTTGATGCGGCACTTGGCCTCTACTCCTTCTGTCGCCGCGAAACCGGACCGCAAAGCTCCATCTTGATCGGCAGACTGGCAGGCATGGGCGTCGACGTCTGCAGCATCGCCCAGGGTCTGGAAAGCTTGAGGAAGCCACCGGGTGGAATCATGTTCTCCAGGAAGTCCTACGCGCCGGTCGGGCCAGTGTCCACGAAGAACAAGGCCTCCGGATTCTCGTCCTCCTGAACTGGAAGGGGCGTGAAAACAAAGATTGGCACAGTCTCTCTGACCCGAACATCTGAACAAATACAGTTCACCAAAGCCTGCACAAATACAGTTCACGCTCTATATGCCGAACCAGGCAGCCTCAGGCGGATCTTCCGTAAGCACCTGGTGCGGTCTGTGTGCTGCAAGCATGTACAGAGGCCAGACTGCAACCTTCCCCCTTGTGCTGTGGGAAAAACGGTGGACCTTAACTTACCCCCCCGAAAGAGGTCGCAAGGTCGATGTCGGTCGTCGCACGTCCTTCCTGTGGATCCCGGGATTCCGGTGGATCATCTTCCTGTTGGTTCTTGTTGGGGGTGAATGATTCAGGATAGCCATGGATAGCCCAATCATGCCCAATCAGTCATCCTCCAATAGCATCGAGTAGGAATTACCGGGTCTGATGCGGCTGGAGGATATGTATGTTTCGAGAATCGCAACAGGCAGAGAGGTACAACAGAAGCCTCTGGTTGTGATGTGGAAACAAGATGAACCAAGTTTTTGGATGGTCAAGGGAGAGCAGGATCACCCAAATCCTGCGTCTTCCAAAGTCAACCAGGGGAGTTGTCCCTCACCAATTCATCAAGGGATCACTACAGCGTCTGAAAACGCATCAACAAAAGTTCGAATCCATCACATGTTGTTTGATCTCTGAATGTCAAATCAAATGACTTACTGCCCCCTCCAAAACCCAGCGCCTCCACCGTGAGCTTCTCCGCCGGCGGAGAAGAAGTCGTGGGGAGCGGAGCGGTCTCCGACCCCGTGAGCTTCGGGCGCTTGGCCGGGGGGCCTTAGAAGGGGTTCGTGACGTGGTGCAAAAAAAACATGTCAAAGGAAGGACATGACCAAGTCATACTCATCGAGTGTGTGTTCACAGGTGGGTGCATGGCCCCATGGCCCCACACTACGTTTAGATTCGAGATCTGCCGCTAGCCCCATCCAATGTGGCTGCATGTCAACTATTGGGAAGCAAAATTACAAGTGTCATTGGGGATCAAGGGACATCGAGTTTGCCCTCCCAAGTGTGAACAAATCAGGGCGTCGCAAGAAAGCGCCCCGTCCTCTATGAGAGGAGGGCTGTGTGTCTGATGAGAGGAGGGCTAAAGTTTAGAAGCCAGGATCTGTTGTTAATGATATGGTGAACTTCTGATGTTGATGCGTAATGGAGGAATCCCTATAAGAAGATTTGGACTACTGATTTTTGTGTTGGCCTCTGGATTCTATGCAAAACAAATCATGAAAGCAGGCATATGAAGCACTTAGTAGCCCAACACTATCAACTTCTACCGATGTTCATCTGACGTTGAGCCAAAACCATTGGGCGCCCACACCGTCACTTGGTGCCTCTACCTGCCATCGAGCGAGGATTGGACGGGTTCTGACTATAGTCTATAGTTCTGAAGCCTTGATATAGGGACGGAGGCAGAAGGTTTGTTCTCTATCGGCCAAAGAACACCACAATGTTTGCCGGCATGGGTCACAATTCATTGAGTCTTCTTCTGTGGTCCAGTCACAAGTGTCTTTGGTGCTTTGGTGTTCAGGTGCTCATTAAATATCACAACTACAGACTTTTGGGATTGCCACCCACCAAGGGATGTGGCTAGTCCGAGTTCGCCGCTCGCGAGACAAAGTAGGAAAATCTTGCACCTCTGGAGTCCAAGGTTTGGTGTGATTCCAAAGCGTTTATATTGCTACTTGCTGACCCATGTCCCACAATGAAAACAGTGGACAACTACGAACTGTCATATTCAGAATGGGTCCACCTTTTCAAAGAACACACCCCTTTTTCAAGTGCTGAAAGCAACCAGCAAGTGAGGCAAAAACATCCCAACGGTCCAAGCTAGTTTGTGCAAACAACAGCGTCATTGGTGTAGGGCTTCACTTGCCTTATGAGAAGGTACTTGGGAATGTTTGGGTTTTGGAGAGTCCAACTACCTCCTGAGACCATAGGCTTTCTAGCTTGTCAGTCTGATTTTCCCGCTCAGTTCAACCCCGACAATTCCTACATCCAATCTGCTCACCAGCTCAGTGTCAGCTGTGGTGAAAGCCATCGAAAGCAGTCCCGGACGCAGTCACTGAGAATTGCTTGGAAAACGTGTGTCAAAGTCCGCTTCTGTAAGAAATAGAACAGTAGATGGTTTCATGGTACAGCTCCTCTCTGAAAGGACTTCCAGCCGTTTTCCCAAGCGCTTGTAGCTAAAAGA